ATATGAGCTAGGATAAGCAATATGAACAAAGCTAAATATCCTAGCAATGAGATATACTATGAGATATATGCAAGGATATATAATTAACACAAGGGTAAACAATTTAAACTAGATAATGGGCAATATAATCAACAATCAATATACAAAGGCGATATAAGATATGAACATAAAAATAAGTGGGCCAATGCAATCACAAACAAACGATATAATTATGAAGTTCGGTCTCCACGACCTACGTCTCCGCTCCTCACCTCGAGGAGATCTCCACTATCACAACCGGGTTTTCTACGTTTACCCGAACAACGTTTACACCTCACAATACGGTTTTCTAGTTTACCGAAAACTCTACAACTAACACACTCTTGTAATCCCACTCTACACCCTCTCAAGTGTTGAACTAGATGTGTCTCCCTCAAGTGCTCGGATACAACCTCTCCCTAGGTTCGTCAATCGACGCCACTCCTCTTGGGACGATCCCCGACTCTCGCCACACACTTCTCTCGGTGTACAAGTGTATTACAAAGTGAATCTCACAATAAGAATAATACAATAAATGATTTGTTCTCTAATATGAATGAGAACATAATGAAAGCTCACACTCAATTATTACAACTCTCACAAACCCAAATATACTATATATGAAAATACAATAAGCTCAATGTGGGTGTGTGTAACAATAAGATATAAATCAAAACTAAACTCAAATAGCAAACTAGCAATAATAAGAATATGAAAATCAATAATAATATTACTAGAAAAAAGAGTTAGAAAACTTCTCTATAAACACAAAGAGAGCATGAGAAGATATTGAAGATAAACTCCTTAACAGATGATGCAAGCTCCTCTTTGTAAAAGCAAACCCTAAAAACAAACTAAACAAACTGTAAAACCCTCTTAAACTTGTTTAAAATTTTCTCCAATTCTTTATTGGTAGAAGAAGGGTTGAGGGGTTTTTATAGGAAGAGAAACCAACAGCCAACACCCCAAACAAAACAACAAAAATCCCAAAAAATTAGGAATACAAATCTGTACAAAAAGAACCGTTGGGGTGAACGACGGTCGACCGTGGAAAACTCGCGGTCGACCGCGAGCCAGCTAAGAAACCCAAAAAACTTCCAGAGACTTACGCGGTCGACCGTGGCGGGTGACCGTGGGAATTTTCGAGCTAACGGTCAACCGTGGCGATCGACCACAAAAGTTTCTGCAGCCCACTCAGCAAAAGACACAGGCGCGGTCGACCGTGGCGGTCGACCGTAAACTGATATAAAGTATTTCAGGTTTGAAAGTGAAATACTGATTTTAAAACCATATTTAAAAATATCAAATAAATTCCAAAAATTATGAAACTATGGAAACTGATTGTAGGCATGATAATAAACATGCTACAGAAACTGGTTTTCAAAAAGGACTTCCCAAATAAAAAATATCATCATTTTGCAAAATAGTCCAAAACATGAAAATGTAAACATATGAATTTTGATATTTCGGCTAAACCATGTTTTGAAACAATACAAAATAATTTTATAGACTTAATAGAAGATGTAAACTATTGTTATGAAGTCTATAAATAATGAATATAGTATTTTATCAAAATACATATATAATACACTAGAACATGATTTCATGGAACTAAATAAAATTGATATTGATGAAATCATATAAATGCATATAAGTATGAAACAAAAATATGTTTTCCAATTGTATTCAATTGTTTTATAGTAAAATTTAAAAACTATCAAACCAAAACATATATGTATATATATAATTATATATATACATGGAAACCAATAAATGTGTGTGTGTATATTATATTGAGCTTAAGGTACTAACACACATAATATAAACTCCTAAACTAAATTACCCAAGCTATCTTGATCTTTAATAAGCTTGACTTGGTAAACTTGCGGATGAAGCTTGAACTTAGATCTTCAACTTGAATTGTATAGCTTCACTCCATAATTCTGCCAACCTCCATTAGATATGATCGTTGAAGCTCTATTCCATCTATCCTCTAACTTGTTGTTTATCTACAATTGATACAAAAATACAAACACTAGACAAACAATATTAGAAGTAAATTATTTGTAAATTATCATCAAAATAAGAAGGCTAACAGGCTCGAGCTCACCTGAATAGATCTTCGAGCTCGCCTGAATAGGCTCGAGCTCGCCTGTAGCTATGCCGACTAGCCGACAAGGCTTGCCTGAATGAGCTTAGAGCTCACCTGAGTGAAGGCTCGCCTGAGTTAGACTCGCCTGCAGTTTTGCTGACGAAGCTCGCCTGCTAACGTAGCCGACAAAGTTAGCAGAGTTCCTGACGAGGCTCGCCTAAATTGATCTTCGAGCTTGCCTGAATAAGGCTCGAGCTCGCCTGAATAAGGCTCGAGCTAGCCTAACTTGATCTTCGAGCTCACCTGCAAAGTTCCTGACGAGGCTCACTTGAATAGATCTTCGAGCTCGCCTGAATAGATCTTCGAACTCGCCTGAATAAGGCTCGAGCTCGCCTGTAGCTATGCCGAGGTAGACGATGAAGCTCGCCTGTGACTAAGCTTCGAGCTCACCTGAATGAGCTTAGAGCTCGCCTGACTTAGACTCTCTTGCGGTTTTGCCGGCGAAGCTCACCTACTAACGTAGCTGACGAAGTTCGCCTGCAACCTAATCGAGACTCGCCTAAATTCAGGTAACCTCCTGTTCCCTAATTCCTGCACCCCTTAGGGTTTCGTTCCTGATGGCCGCCGCCGCTTAAGCTCCTGCACCCTAGGGTTGAAACCCTAGGGTTTTCTGATTGTCGCCGTTACTGTCTTCATTTGATAGTGGGGCCGCCAGCCACCAGATCGCCGGCGAAGAGACCAGCGACCGACTGCCAAACAATACAACTGCACACAATCTGGATCAAGAATTCGATCCAGACCGAACCAAAAGAGAGTTTGAACAAAAACATGCACGCTACAGTGCAAACGTGCAACAGATCTTAATAAAACAAAATTAAGATCAAAACCCTAATTTCTTCATCTTAAACTTAGATCCCTAAGAAGTAATCACGGTGACTCTGATACCACTTGTTGATCCTTATTTGATCTTAATCATATAATATAATTAAGAACCATGATTAATTCAAAGAGGAGATTAACAAGAAGAATTAGCGGAAGCATACCTGAATCCATAAAGAAATTCTGAATTAGGGTTTGAGATCTTCTAATCTAAAGGGTCTCTCCTTTTGTTTCTCTCTAGATGGGGATTAAGAAAACATAGAACGTCACCCTTAGATTAGGGACCATAACCCCTTTATATAGATATTGTCATTTTCTAATTTCCCCCCTCATCAAATTAGACTTGTAATCTGGTATCTACACAATTAGCTCATGACATATTTAAATACCCATTAACCCAATTAATTGATTGATCACTTATGCGGGTTAACTTTAAAGATAACATTACACAATAATTTAACATATGTGCTCATAATTAGATTTAATCCAACACTCCCAATTTGTTACATAACTCCTAAACACGACACAACTCTTTTGGATGCTATGTGAATTTTTTCTCAATATATGCCAGACTTTTTGCGGGTTATAGGAAATTTAGCCTTTTTAGAAAGAGTAAATGTAACAAAACAAATAATTGAAATGGTAACAGTAATTATAGTTGTTCTGTAGTTTTCACGTGAAAAGTATATACAAGCTTTGAGATGGAATAGTCTACAACTATAACCAAGAATGATAACCTCATGCAGCTCGTCAGACCCCAACTTGCATAATTTTTTTTAGTGTTTTCAAAAGTAAAATTATATTATCTCTAATCTCTGAGTACACGAGGTATTATCCAGTTTTACTGCCATTGGAGATTTGATAATAAAAACTTGATGATAATCGGATTTAGAAACCCGCTTCCCTTTTGGTTGACACTAATTATTAAATGGGTTAAAGATGAACCACTTTTGACTTGTATTTCAAATTGATACATAAAAACCTATGAGATGACAATACTAGAATAAAATATTAATTAATTATTGATGAGGCGATCTTACCATTATCAGAAGATTATAAACTTATTGTGCCTCATTTGTTTGGTCATGGATTTTATATATATCCTATTGTATGTAGCAAAGGTGAATATGGATGTCATGTATAAACTTATTATGTCTCATTTGTTTGGTGATGGATGATGTATCCTATTGTATGTACCAAAGGTGAATATGGATAATTTTTATACAAATTCAAATTAAAATAACAATTATAGCAATATTGTCAAAATTGTTTACAATATTTTCCAACTAAGTTTTCCATATTGTCAGATAATCTAACAAATTAGGCGCACTATTAATTTCAAATATTATGCATAAAAAAGGATAGAAGATTGCCATCTTTATTCAGTACTATGGAAAATTCTTCTACAAATCTCTATTATTTATTTACTTATTTATTTCTGTTTTTACGAAAGTTTCCAATTCTTGCAGACAAATATACTTAGAATTGAAGATGAAAGGATAAATGGAAATTTAATTAACAATGTATCCAGTTAGACAATAAAATTAATTAGTAAATAGCTAGCTAATATTATGCACAAAATAAAATCTTACCCTTTATAACAAGGAAAAGATAATTACGATTCACTATTTATTTGGCAACAACAAAAATGAATTGCAACCAAAAACATTGTTGTTTCGTGAAAATAATATTATTTTTTATTATTTAGAGACGAAAAGATGCTTATCTTTGTACAAGTTTCAAACTGTCTTAATCAAGGGAAAATATTCAAAAAGAGCAAAAAATATCCAGTTAAAATTCAAAGGATGCGATTTCTTTTTTCAAGCACACACTACTCAGAAATTCTCTCAAATTTTCGACATTTTCTTTTTCCTGTTTTATTTGTCCGTGTGAAGACAGCCCTCTTTAAAAATGTGGGCCCCACTGTCTTCTGTATACCGCAATATATACGGTGGGGTCCACTTGTTGAACACCCTCTTTCTCCCTTAAATTTTCCTCTCTCTCTCTCACATCATCAAGTGCTGTCTGAAAAATTAAATTATTTTATATTATGTTATATAAAGAAAACAAAAGAAGGCGTTGCTGGATCGTTAAGGGAGGAGACCCTAGATTTGCTGAAGATTGTTTGTAATTATGCTCTGGGTTTCTTCAGGTTAGTGTGAGCTCTGTCGCTGATGAACCTGGTATATCCTTTTTTTTTCCTCTATTTTTCGATGGATTTTTTTTTTATGATTTTTATGGGGTTGTTGAGCTTGTTTGGGTTTTTTTAATTTTGGGTTTGGGAATTGGGTTTTTGATTCAGGATTTGGGTTTTTGTGGGTTTGGGAATTGGGTTTTTGATTTAGGATTTGGGTTTTTGTTTGTTTGATTTGGGGTGTAGAGTTTTGAGTTTTCCTTTGTAAATTTGCCCCTTTTGTATTTTACGAGAGAGATAGATTCAAGGGTATTAAGTTGCTATAATCTTAATTCATTTTTTGATCTTGTTATTTGATCCGAATAAGGTTTTTTGTGTGGAATTAGATTTTTTCCCCTGAGATTTTAGATTAAATTCGAGGGTTGTTATGCTTCTAAAATATGATTTTAGATCTTGACTGATTGATTTGGTTTAAGATTGCAGTGATTTTTGTGAGATCTCTTGTAAATATCTTTCTATATTTAGCTAATCATCAATTGTATATTAGGTTTGCTTAATTTTAGCTTTTAAATCATGCAATTAATTTGAATTAATATTTTGTAGATATCTTCAATTTGGATTCCTATTTTGCAAATGCTTGAAATGATGGTCTTTGTGATCAACATATGCGGATTGACTTACCCTTTCTCTCAATATCAAAAATCCATTCAAATCAATAAAAAGTCAACATACAAGTGAGAAAATTTGACAAACACAAATCCACAACCACAAGCAAATACATAAAAACAGGACTAATTGGATACTAGAAGACTGTTTTGTCCCCAAATCAACCTTTGGAAAGTATTTCCTCTTAAGACAGTAGAAAATGAAGATTTTTTTTTAAGATGTGTTGGTGTCTATGAAATTGTTTTTTTTATTTATTTTTCTTTTTCTTTTGGTGTAAGAACACCCCCAATCGCATCAATTGGTATTTTCTCCTCTTTATAAGATGTTAGTTTTCTCGAATCTTCATCTTTCCTTCTCTATTTGGTTGAATACATTCATGTTGTATATGATTCTTTCTTGTTGCAAAAAATGATCCATTTTTGTAGTAAAGAAGCCTAGATACCATGCATCTTTTAAAGCGATGCACCAAGAAAAAATCTATGTGCATTTGCGTAAGAATTATGCCTTACTGTTCAGACTACACAATTTTATGGATTAGAAACTGATTATTGATCTTGTTTTCAGTTAGGGAGCAGAGAATTTAGATGTTTGTGATAAAAGGACAAGGAAACATGGAAAAACCTCTATTAAGGAGGAATCATTTTACTGAGAGATTGCTTCCATTCCAGGAGATCGAGAAGCATATTGACATTTTATTTCTTTTTTAAGTTTAAAAAAAAATACAAGGTTTTTTGTGAGCTCATATAAGCTTATATAACACAGGGTCCACATCTAAAGTATTTAATAATCTTAAATAAGTCGCTCCATCAAAATTATGCGGATATGTTAGTAATTAGAATTGAGTTCATGTCTCCTTCGAAGCTTCCACATCCATTCTATCAGTAAAATATGTTTTGAGGCCTCCTCTTTTACCTGTACCTCATTTTAATAATTATTTCAGTTAGATTTCTACTTGGAATTTTTTATTTCTATTGATGTTTGCATATCTTTGTTACTCGCAGGGCCTTGTTTATTCTTTGTGATTAGCTATTGGAATTTAATATATTTGGTTGGTTCTAGTATCTTCAAGATCTCAAGTTTCTTTTGAATTGGAAGACGGCGATGTGTTGTGTATGTATTTCTCAACAGGAAAATTCAGTTCGTGGATGTTGTTGTAAACCTGGCTGTCCTTCCTTCTGCCTTGAGATAGAGAGAGAAAATCTAACGTCATCTGATATGCATTCAAACAGCAGGTAAAAATTTCATTCTAGGTTTAAATTGAATTTTTGTTAAACTATTAGCATCTACTTTCTTCTGTTGTTGAGAGAACTTTAAAATGTTTTCCAGCACATGCTACTCTTAAAACTACAAACTAGCAATTGAAGGATATATGTGGCTGAAATATTGGGTTTTATTCAGTTTTTTCAAAAAAGAAAAAAGGAAAAGGAAAAAAAAAATCTTTTTTTATCCTACCATTCACTTCTTCCAACTGCCTAATGCTCTGGTCTTAAATCAGTTTTCTTCAGACTCCTAACACTAATCTGTGACCTAGAAGTGTCAATTATTAGAAAACACTGTTTTCCGATAGTTACAATGGACTTGGTTCTTTTGTGGATTATCAATTCGGCAGGGAGAACGAAAATGCAGCTTTACATACAAGTCAAGAACAAACAAAACATTCTATTCTTCATTCAGAGGAGCTTGAAAGCAAAGATTCATTGGGAAATACTGACAAGAATAGGTTGGATGTAATGCTGGAAAGATCTGGAGATAGTACTGATGATAAATTTGGACTTCATCATAGCAGGACCTTGGAAGATGTTCGATCCATAATAGATGGAGATGAATCGGATGGATCAGAGAGTGCCATTGACAGCAGTAATCCATCATTTCTATCGACTACAGAAACCGATCCAGCCATCTGGGAGCTACCTGAACCAGCAGACATCAACATGGACAGTGTGGCCAACAATGATGATGATGATGAATACAGTGATGGGACGAAATGGGGTCAGTCGAGTTGTTTAAGTGGTTTTGATGTAGAAAACGGAAGCAATATTAAAGAAGAGCGGCAGAAAGCAATGATGGAGGCAATGAATGGGCAATTTAAGATACTTGTGAGTCGATTTTTGGCATCGGAGGATATAAGTTTTTCTGAAGGAGGGAATGGCGATAAGTGGCTGGACATAGTTGCTTCCTTATCGTGGGAGGCAGCTTTGCTTATCAAGCCTGAAGCGAGCAAGGGAAAGGCGATGGATCCCGGATCATATGTAAAAGTGAAATGTGTTGCAACTGGAGCTCGTACGCAAAGGTAATACATGATGCTCTCAGAGGCTGCATTTTTTATGAACAATAAATTTGCCCCCCCCCCCCCCCCAAAAAAAAAAAAAAAAAGAAAAAAGAAAAAAGAAAAAAGAAAAAAAACACAGACAAAAGAAAGTTTGGGTGTTTCATAGATAACCCTTCTTAACTACTTTAATTCCACAAAACGTTGAGGGGTTTTACACGTAAACCCCTGATCTTATTCTATTCCATTAAACCCGTTAAAGATTGGCCACTTTAACCCCCTTTAAAATTAACACTATCAAATCTTATCTGTCATGTCCTAAGCTTGTGACGAACAATGGTGAAAATGTCTCTTAGTCCTAAAAATTAATGGAAATAATAAAAAGGATAAGAGGGTGATTTTTCATTTTCAGAGTTGAGGGGTACTTTCTTCCTTTGTGTTACGTGCTCGGCATGTGACATGTTAGACTTGATGATGTTACATTAGGGGGTTAAAGTAAAAAAAATCAAGGAGTTTAGTTGAATAGAATAAGTTTAAAGGGATTTTGTGGAAAACTCCTCAATTAAGGGGGTTTTGTGGAATTAAAGTAGTTAGGGGGTTATCTGTAAAATGTTTAAATTTAAGGGGGTTTGTGAAAATTACCCTTGTTTTGTCTCGTGTAAAGGATGTGAAAATTACCCTTGTTTTTTTGTTTTTTTGTTTTTTTAGTGAAGTGATCAGAGGGTTAGCATTTAAGAAAAACACTGCACACAAGCACATGCCAACGAAGTGCAAGAATCCTAGACTCTTACTTCTGAAGGGAGTCCTTGGGCATCGTGAAGTTGGGTTGTCATCATTCGAATCAATGTCAGAGGTACTTCTCTCGACAAGATAATATTAGTTGTTTTGATTTTCAAGCGTAGCTTGCCTTCTGAATCTAATTCCTTTTTTTGAAGGAAAAAGACGGTTATTTAAAATCCATCCACGAGCTGATAACAAAATGCAACCCTAATGTTGTTTTGGTGGAAAGATCTGTTTCTCGTGACATGCAAGAGTTTCTTTTGGAGAAAGGAATGACTTTGGTCTTTGACATGAAGCTTACACGTTTAAATCGCATTGCCCGTTGTATTGGTTCTCCAATTATATCTTGCACTGACATTTTGACCTGTTCAAAGGTGAAGCAATGTGATATGTTCCGCATTGAAAAGTTTATTGAGGAACATAACTGTTCCAGTGAAGGTGGAAAGAGGTCATCCAAAACTTTAATGTTTCTGGAAGGTTTTCCTAAACCGTTGGGCTGTACGGTGAGCGATGTTCTATTTTTAAGGTTAACTGCAGATAGACCCCTGAAGCATCGTTGTTTTGAACTGATTACCCCTCTAGTTCTATTGTTGTTTATATACCCCTTGAGTGAATTTTTCCCCGCTCCTTTACCCTAAAAAAAGGAGAATTGGTTTTTTTGACATATTTACTCCCGGAGGGTAAAAAGGTCAAATAAAATTCAACCAGGGGATCTATCTGCAATAATATAACAAGAAGGATAGTAAGTTAGCAATGATACTACTGGTGGTCTAAATTATTAGTTCATAGATTGATACAACACACAAATAATTAGGTTAATTTAGCCCTTTATACATGGTTTCCTTATTCTGATTCAATTCCTTTTGTCGCAGATTTTGCTTAAAGGCGCGCCTATTGTTGAATTGAAGAAGATCAAGCGTGTTCTCCAATACACAGTCTTTGCAGCATATCATTTAATACTCGAAACTTCATTTTTTGCCGATCAAAGAGCCTTATTTTCTGATATGTATGCAGAAGGAAATGGTTATTTAAACGAGAAAACACTGCCTACAAATTTTTGTGCTGATGGTGACCGAGCTGGTATTATTGAATCTTATGCTCTGGATGCTCCTAGCTCGAATGGATCTCTAGAAAATTCTATCAGAGTTTTTGTTATGTCTGCTGCCGCTCGTGTGCCTCATTTGGCAAGTTCTTAGAGCCTCACTTTTCAAGCCATTCGTGGCTAGTAGCGTTTATCCTCTAAGTGTGGGCTCACTGCACAGAGATTGCCTTCGTTTTTTTGGGTGTATGTTACCTTGTTTGTTCTGCCTTATGGTAACTAAGAACTTACTTTATCTAGTTGCTTTTATCTGATGCCATACCCGTACTTGACATGTTACGGCACCTGACACTTCCTTGGCATATTCTTGAACATATCCATACGCTTATCTCGGGGTACATGATTTAATTGACACCCTCGTCTTACACTTCTTCGACCTTTAGCCTACACTTAGCATGCGCTCTTGAAATTGCTGGACATGAGGCTGGTTCGCTTTGGGGTCCACATCAGTTCAGAGATATGATTTTAGGAGGAATGTGGGTATCTTGTTCAAAAGCAAGTGGTGCCCTAATGCTATAATCTACATGATAAAAGAATCATAAAAATGTTATTGGAATTTTATTTCTTATAAATTGCTTGAATTAAAATAGATTAATCTTTATATAAATTATTAATTTCAATATATATATATATATATATATATATAATATATATATATATTAGGGAGAAATTTTTGAAAAAGACCTTTTTTTAATATTAATAAGGCAAAATCGACCGCTTACAATTTTAATCAGCAAAATCGACCGCACGGGACTGCTAGTCCCGTGCAGTTCTCCCAAACCCCTAAAAAACCAACGATTTCCTTCTCTCCCCCTCTCAGTCCCTCTCCCTCTCCTCCCTCCTCGCCCTCTCCCAAAAACACACCATCCCTCCGCCCTCTCCCGCATACTCCCTCCATCCGCCAAATTAATTTCCCATCGTCCCTTTTCATATCAAAATCGAACAAGCTTCAATTCAAGGATGAAAGGAAAAAAAAAAAAAGGAGGGGAAAGAGAGAGAGATAGAGAAATGGCGGTTCATCGAGCACTCTAAATCCGCCGCCCTCCTCGAGCAGATGAAGCCTCCACCTCGCCACGGAAGAGGGCAGAAGCTAGTCGACAAGGTCGGCCTCGTCTACCAGCTCAACATCGCCCCCACAAGCGTCTCAGAACCCTAACCTTAACCCATCATCTTTTTTTTATCTCTTTCTCTGATCTCGAAAGCCCGGTCTCAGTGTGTCTTTTTTCGTCCCGAATTACGCAGAGCTAGGGAATGCGTGGGCGAGGAGATCTTCATCGTAGATCTCAAGGAGGGCAGGGTTTCCAAAGGTGGTCGCCTCAGATTTTTTCTTCATGGTGTGCGTTGTTGCGTGGGCTGCAAGCGAGGGAGCGGTGCTGGAATGCGGTTTTGTGAGAGGAGGTGGCTTCTGGTGTTTGCGGTTCTGAGAGGACTGAGAGGGCGGAGAAGAGGAAATCGTTGATTTTTGCCGGGTTTTTGGAGAACTGCACCGGACTAGCAGTCCCGTGCGGTCGATTTTGCCTGAATAAAATTGGTCTAAACGGTCGATTTTGCTTATTTATATTTAAAAAATGCGTCTTTTTTAAAAATTTGTCCATATATATATATATAATATTATATATATATATATATATATTATATATATATATATATAATTATATATATATATATCAGGTTATCCTCTAAGTGTGGGCATTCACTGCACAGAGATTGCCTTCGTTTTTTTGGGTATGTTACCTTGTTGTTCTGCCTTATGGTAACTAAGAACTTACTTTATCTAGTTGCTTTTATCTGATGCCATACCCGTACTTGACATGTACGGCACCTGACACTTCCTTGGATATTCTTGAACATATCCATACGCTTATTCGGGCGTACATGATTTAATTGACACCCTCGTCTTACACTTCTTCGACCTTTAGCCTACACTTAGCATGCGCTTCTTGAAATTTGCTGGACATGAGGCTGGTTCGCTTGGGTCCACATCAGTTCAGAGATATGATTTTAGAGGAATGTGGGTATCTTGTTCAAAAGCAAGTGGTGCCCTAATGTATAATCTACATGATAAAAGAATCATAAAAATGTTATTGGAATTTTATTTCTTATAAATTGTGAATTAAAAATAAGATTAATCTTATATAAATTATTAATTTCAATATATATATATATATATATATATATATATATATATATATAATATAGAGAAGAAATTTTTGAAAAAGACCTTTTTTTAATATTAATAAGCAAAATCGACCGCTTACAATTTAATCAGAAAATCGACCGCACGGACTGCTAGTCCCGTGCAGTTCTCCCAAACCCTAAAAAACCAACGATTTCCTTCTCTTCCCCCTCTCAGTCCCTCTCCCTCTCCTCCCTCCTCGCCCTCTCCCAAAAACACAACCATCCCTCCGCCCTCTCCCGCATACTCCCTCCATCGCCCAAATTAATTTCCCATCGTCCCTTTTCATATCAAAATCGAACAAGCTTCAATTCAGATAAAGGAAAAAAAAAAAAAGGAGGGGAAAGAGAAGAGAGATAGAGAAATGGCGGATCATCGGCACTCTAAATCCGCCGCCCTCCTCGCAGCAGATGAAGCTCCACCTCGCCACGGAAGAGGGCAGAAGCTCGTCGACAAGGTCGGCCTCGTCTACCAGCTCAACATCGCCCCCCAAGCGTCTCAGAACCCTAACCTTAACCCATCATCTTTTTTTTATCTCTTTCTCTGATCTCGAAAGCCCGGTCTCAGTGTTGTCTTTTTTCGTCCCGAATTACGCAGAGCTAGGGCAGCGTGGGCGAGGAGAATCTTCATTCGTAGATCTCAAGGAGGGCAGGGTTTCCAAAGTGTGTCGCCTCAGATTTGTTCTTCATGGTGTTGCGTTGTTGCGTGCGCTGCAAGGAGGAGCGGTGCTGGAGCGGGTTTTGTGAGAGGAGGTGGCGTTCTGGTGTTTGGGTTCTGAGAGGACTGAGAGGGCGGAGAAGAGGAAATCGTTGATTTTTGCGGGTTTTTGGAGAACTGCACCGGGACTAGCAGTCCCGTGCGGTCGATTTTGCCTGAATAAAATTGGTTAAACGGTCGATTTTGCTTATTATATATTAAAAAATGCGTCTTTTTTAAAAATTTGTCCATATATATATATATATATATTATATATATATATATATATATTATATATATATATATATAATTATATATATATATATCCACAAATTTGTAGTGTCCCGTGCCCGTGCTCATTTCTATGCAACATAAATATGGACTCTATTTACATGCTTATGATTCTCAATTTTCATTGTAAATTATAACAATGTGCAGATTAGGCTCCAAAGTTGCAATGTTTAGATATTCCTCAGTTGAAATCTATGCTGCGTGTAAGCCACCACCGGTAATGTTGTTCAATAATCTAAATGGACAGGAGTGGATCAAGAGAGAGGCAAAATCAGTAAGTGGCCCTTAAATATTACTATACTATTTTACATTTTTATGTATATTTTGTAAATGACGGTCACACCTCTCTTAAAAGGTGCTTCAAAAAGGAGATCTACTTTTCTCGGAGGTTGCCAACTTTTTACAGAAGTTGAAGCATGGGGATTTTGGCGTGTTTCACAAACAATCTAAGAACTCTTCAGCTGCAGTAAAAGATCTTCGTAAAGTTGAAGAGATGTTGAATCAAGAGAAATCTGAGTTTGAGGTCTGTTTTGATTTTATTTATTTATTATTAATTTTTTTATTTTTTAATTAACTTTCCTTACTCGCAAAAGGAGCTAATTCTTATATTCTTATGTTGTGGATCAAACAGGAATCTTTGCTCAAAGCTATCAACTTTAGTGGGCAAATGGGAATGGGTGTGAATGAGATTCTTAGTTTGAGTTGGTTGAATCAGGAGCTTCTATTTGAGCTATACATATGGGATCTTCGTTTACAATCCCTTCTTCAGTGTACAAAAGATAATACCACTTCTGCCGATGAAATTCAAGAGAAGAATTCAGGAAATTGTGATATGGATTTG